CATTTCTTATCCTACCCTATTCTATTCATTTCATATTCTGTTCTATTCTGTTCTATTCTATTCTACTCTGTTCTGTTCTATTCTATTTTATTCATTTCCTATCCTATTCATTTCATATTCTATTCTACTCTATTCCATTCCATTCTGTTCATTTCTTATCCTACCCTATTCTATTCATTTCATATTCTGTTCTATTCTGTTCTATTCTATTCTACTCTGTTCTGTTCTATTCTATTTTATTCATTTCCTATCCTATTCATTTCATATTCTATTCTACTCTATTCCATTCCATTCTGTTCATTTCTTATCCTACCCTATTCTATTCATTTCATATTCTATTCTATTCTATTCTATTCTATTCTATTCTATTCTATTCTACTCTTTTCTGTTCTGTTCTGTTCTATTAATTTCCTATCCTATTCATTTCATATTCTATTCTATTCTATTCTATTCCATTCCATTCTGTTCATTTCTTATCCTGTCCTATTCTATTCATTTCCTATTCTGTTCTATTCTGTTCTATTCTGTTCTATTCTGTTCTATTCTACTCTACTCTGTTCTGTTCTATTCTATTTTATTCATTTCCTATCCTATTCATTTCATATTCTATTCTATTCCATTCCATTCCATTCTATTCTATTTGTATTTATTCATTTATTTAAACGTATATGTCATTCATTTCAACCAAAGATGACTCTAGGTGGCTTACAATCAATAAAACATCATTTCTGAAACACTAAAATCTTAAAACAAGAAATAGTAACGGTGCATTTAGTTTAAAACGGACAAGGATGGGAAGGAATGGATCGTACAAATATGAGGACGCGTCTGCTTTGATCTTTCCCTTAGATATTTCTCAAGTACCCAAGGACTGGCCGCAAGAAGGGGAAATCAAGATCGAAAACCTATGCGTCCGCTACGAGAATAACCTGAAGCCCGTTCTCAAGCATGTGAAAGCATATATCAAGCCAGGCCAGAAGGTTCCGCCATCTTACGATAATTTAATACTTTTTCACGGGGTTTCTGGCAAAGAAAAAGATAATTGGAGGATGTATTGTGGAAGATGGTTTGGTGTCAAAAAACTCTAAAATACCTTGATCACAGAAACAGGTGTGTCAGGGTTCAAAGTAACATCCCCAATGAAAGACGACTCCAAGGCCTGAGTTTCCTCAAACTTCCATTTTATGTCATATTGGCACATCTGGGAAAACCCAGATGTGAAATCTTTCAGGTTTTCCCCACTCAAACCTAAGTCCAAGTCCCTGCCCAGCACCCACATGTCCATCCCATGGCCCAATCAGGCGCCGTCCAAAACTAGAGATGCCCCCCCAGTCACACCACTCCGGGGCAGGGCCAGACGTCCTTGACTCTCTGAGAAAGGAATGTTGTTTTGACTATGTTTATCCCGCTCCATATAATCCCCCCTCCCAATTTCCCACAGCTTTCAGTGTGGCAAATCTGAGGGCCCGACGCAAAAGATGGCTTCCAAGCCTCACCAGGTGGACTCCCATTTATTTATCCCTATCTAGGATTCGTGAGTCGAAAGAGGAATATCCAATTATAGGTTGTCCTCAACTTACAACTGTTCACTTAGCGACTGCTTGAAGTTACAACGGCACTGGTTGCCGCATCTTGGAATCATGCAATCACCATTTGCAACCTTCCCAGCTGGCTGTAAAATACCCTAATGATGCCTGCTTCATAATAAGCAACCCGATATTGTAATACAAAAAGCAATGATTTATTAACAGCTTCATTAGGCATTTCTTATTCGCAGCCGAGGTGGCGCAGTGGTTAAATGCAGCACTGCAGGCTACTTCAGCTGACTGCAGTTCTGCAGTTCGGCTGTTCAAATCTCACCGGCTCAG